AAGACAGGGTTTCTCTGAGTTCCAAGATGGCCAGAGCTACACAGAGAAGCCTGAACTTGAAAAACCAAAACCAAACAAAAAATTTTGGGGCTGGGTTCAATCCCTGGTACCACTTAGGGTGTTCCAGCAGTCAGGAGCGGAGACAGGAATATCTGAAATTCAACTCAATCAATGAGACCCTGTCTGTAAAATCTGTATTAAATTAAAAAGTTAAAAGGATATGAGACCCTGTTTGGTTTGTCAAAAACAAACAAGATCCTTCAATGAACTAAGCATTCACACTACTGTATTTTGTTGCAAATAAATTATGTCTCAGTAATTATAATCTTAAATACTATGAACCATAATAAAGGTATTGGGAGGGGTGTGTACACTCATGACAAGAAAAGTTACATCCAGGAGAGATTTCCCAATCTACTGCAGAGTTAGAGACTGAATTTTGGGGGAAAAACGTGTTAACACCTGCCATTTACCTGACCCAAAGGTGAATACCACTCTTATCTCCAGACTTGGGCTGGGAGCCAGGTGACTGAGGAATGGAGAACCTGGTGAGCATGTGCAAACAAAAACTAAACTCAAGTTGTCCAGGAGAAGTAGGCTGGGTCAACGATGGAGAATCCAGGTGGGTGGGAGAGCAGAGGAAAAGAAGGAAAAAAGCAAAGAAAACAGGAAATGTCTGATAAATTGTTTTAAGCACTTGAAAAAAAATCAGAAAATTGGAAACATACCTGAGCAAGTCTGCTTTTCTAGCTAAAGGAACAAGTCCTTTAATTTTCTTTTCTTTCTTTCTTTCTTTTTTTTTTTTTTTTGGTGAGGGACATTGTTTTGCTTTCGAAATAGTTTCTCTGTGTATCTCTGACTGTCTCACTCTGTGGGCGGGGCTGACCATGCTGGAGTCAAAGGTGGGTGCCACCGCCACCCTGCAAATATTTTCAATTTTCATTCGACTGTATGTGTATGGGTGTTCTGTCTGCGTGCCAGTCTTCCCACACATGTGCCTGGTGACTGAGGAGACCCCCCTGGGACTGGGGTGACAGACGGTCATGAGCTCCCATGTGGGTGCTGGGAATCACACCCAGGCATTCTGGAAGAAGAGCCAGGGATCAGTGCTTTTAATTGCTGAACGATTTCACCAGCCAAGGAATACTTCATGTGGTTATAAAAATATTTATGTTTTGGGTATGGGCACATGCCACCCATGTGAGATCAGAGGACAATCTACAGAGTTGGTCTGTCTTTCTACCTCTTGGCAGCAGGAGCCTTTCTTTAGTTGTTGACCCATCTCACCAGCCCATATGTAGATTTTGTCCACCTGCTGATTTGTTTTTGGTAGTGTCTCCCCATGTAGCCCTGGCTGACCTAGAACTCACCACACAGACCAAGCTGGCCTCACACTCAGATTCAACTTCCTCTGCCTCCCACTGCTGGGATTAAAGGTGTGCACAACCAGGAGCTTTTTCCTTTCGAGACAGGGTCTTGGTATGTTGCTGTGGCTGCACAGAACTCACAGTAGCTCAGCCCAGACTAGAACCTAAAGAAATCCTGCTAGCATTGCCTCTGCATCTGCCCCAGAGCAGGGCTTACAGGCGTGTACCACCACACCTGCTAAACTATTTTTCCATTAGAACTGGGGAAAAGGCTTGTTGCAAAATCCTCAGGACCTGAATTCAGATCCCCAGAATCCATGTAAAAAGCCAGAGGTGGCCGGGCAGTGGTGGCGGTGTGGTGGTGCACGCCTTTAATCCCAGCATTCTGGGAGGCAGAGGCAGGCGGATCTCTGTGAGTTCGAGACCAGCCTGGTCTACAAGAGCTAGTTCCAGGACAGGCTCCAAAACCACAGAGAAACCCTGTCTCGGAAAAAAAAAAAAAAAAAAAAAAAGCCAGAGGTGATGGCATATGCCTGTAACTCTAGCCCTTGAGGGGCAAAGACAGGTGAATTCTGAAGCTCCATTGCCTGCCCAACATGCCTGGCCAAATCCTTGAGTTTCAGGTTCAGTAAGAGACTGCCTCAAAAACTAAAGGTGGAAAGCAGTTAAGGCAATTAACACATTCACACACACAAATTTTAAATTAATCTTTAAAAAATTTCATGTGCATTAGTGTTTTACCTACATGTAGGTCTGTGAGGGTGCCGAATCCTCTGGACCAGTTACAAACAATTGTAAGCTGCCATTTGGGTGCTGGGAATTGAACCTGGGTCCTTTGGAAAAGCAGCCAGTGCTCTTAACCTCTGAGCCACCTCTCCAGCCCCCACAAAAACATTTTAATATCTCCAGCACTTGGGAGGCAGAGGCAGGCAGATATCTGTGAGTTTGGGACCAGCCTGGTCTACAAGAGCTAGTCCAGGACAGGCTCCAAAGCTACAAGAAACGTCTCTCAAAAACAACAACAAAAAAATTCAGTATCTCAAAAGAATATCCAAATGATCTACCACCCTAGGGTAGATCAACTTTTCAGTGAGACTTATTTCAGTAAGAATTTGCAAGTTGCTGTTAAGCTCCTTGTTGATAGTTTATTTGGGTTGAGACAAGAGTTCTCTACATAGCCCTGACTGTTCTGGAACTCAGCTCTGTAGACCAGGCTGGCCTTGCACTCAGATCTGCCTGTTTCCCGAGGGCTGGAACTAACAGTGTATGTCACCATATCTGACTGGTAGGTATCTGACATATACATATATTGATTTATTCATTTATTGGTGGTAAGTAGGCAAGTGCTCTCCCGCTGAGCTCTATATAAAGTCCTTTGTAAATTTTTGAGTTTCTCACTAAATTGACCAGGCTGGCTTTGAACTTAAGTCTGTATCCTAGACAGACCTTGAATGTGATACTCCTGCTTCAGTCTCCTACCTTACAGACATTCACCACCAGTCCTGGTCTAAATGTACTTATTTTCTTTTCTTTTTATTATTTTTTTTTTGTTTTTTGAGACAGGGTTTCTCTGTGGTTTTGGAGCCTGTCCTGGAACTAGCTCTTGTAGACCAGGCTGGTCTCAAACTCACAGAGATCCGCCTGCCTCTGCCTCCCGAGTGCTGGGATTAAAGGCATGCGCCACCACTGCCCGGCTTTGTACTTATCTTCTTAAGATTATTTCCCACAGTGACTTAGCCTCAAACTCCCAAATAGCTTGATACAGGCACACTTCCTACCCAACCCCAGTGCTTCTTTGTTGCTATTTTGTTTTTTGTGGTGATACTGGGAATTGAATTCAGAGAGTTTTTCTGTGTGTTTTAGGTTTCTTTTTGTCTTGTTTTTGTTTTTGAGACAGGGTTTCTCTGTGTAGCCCTGGCTGTCTTAGAACTCGCTCTGTAGACCAGGCTGGCCTCTAACTCACAGAGATCCACCTGTCTCTGTCTCCCAAGTACTGAATTTAAAGGCGTGAGCGTGAGCCACCCTTCTGAGCCACCATGTGGTTGCTGGGAATTGAACTCAGGACCCATGGAAGGAGCCACCCTTCTGAATTCAGAGTTTTATATATATGTTACTACCACTAGTTCATAGGTAACTTCATTACCTTAATCCAGTTCTAGAATCTGAGGAAGGTGGAATTGGGGCTGAGGAGCTGTAAATCTCAAGCAGTAATGGGTAAGCATTTTCTATAAAGTGCCATTTTAGGTTCTGAAAGACATGTAGCTGTTACATGATTCTGCTAATTTTGTACAAAAGGCATATGTCCTACCCATGTAGACAACAAAAAGGACTGGTAAAGACAGCAGTCTGTTGTTTGTAGCTGCATATTGGAAACATAAGAGGAGCCCATAAAATCAAAAGTGTCCAAGCTTTTAAGTTTTTTACTATGAAGCCTAGGCTGGCCTCAAATCTATAATCCTTCTGCTTCCATCTCCAAAGTACTGGGATTAGACACGTTCTATCACACATAGCTAAAAAGTTCCTTTTTTAAAAAATATTTATGTGTACGACTATCTTGCTTGCATGTATGTATCTGTGCTTTTTGCAAACCTGGTGCCCAAGGAGGTCAGAAGAGGGCATCAGATCCCTGGAACTAGCTCTCTCTCTACAGACCCTTGGTTGAGCTGGAACTCACTGTGTAAACCAGGCTGGCCTCTTAGAGATCTGCTCGCCTTTGATGTAGGAGGGTCATCTGTCTATGTGTTACTTTCATTGGTTAATAAAGAAACTGTTTGGCCTGATAGGTCAGAACATAGGTGTGTGGAGTAGACAGAACAGAATGCTGGGAAGAAGGGAAATGAGGCAGTCGCCATGATCTCTGACCCAAGACAGACACAGGTTAGAATCTTCCCAGTAAACCACCACCTCGTGGTGCTACACATATTAATAGATATGGCTTAATCAAGATGTGAGAGTTAGCCAGTAAGAGGCTAGAGCTAATGGGCCAAGCAGTGTTTAAATGAATACAGTTAGTTTGTGTGTTGTTATTTCGGGGCATAAGCTAGCCAGGCGGCCGGGAGCCGGGTGGCAGAAACGTAGCCTGCTGTTCCCACTACATGCCTTTGCCTCCTGAGTGCTGAGATTAAAGGCTTGTGCCACCATGCCTGGGCCAGAACAAGCTCTTCAGTCTTGCTTGTTACCAGACTGGCCAGGAACTGAACTAGATTCAGCCTCCCAAGTAGCTGGGACTGAACACACCTAGCTTCAAAACTCTAAAGCTAGGGGCTGGAGAGATGGCTCAGTGGTTAAGAGCATTGCCTGCTCTTCCAAAGGACCAGAGTTCGATTCCCAGCAACCACATGGTGGCTCACAACCACCTGTAAAGAGGTCTGGCGCCCTCTTCTGGCCTTCAGGCATACACACAGACAGAAAATTGTATACATAATAAATAAATAAAATATTAAAAAAAAAACTCTAAAGCTATTAGGTGATTACTTGATATGCATTCTGGGCTGGACATTGCTGCCCTTGGTCCACTTCAGATTGGGTAGCAGATAACAGACAAACGAATGGACAAGGATCCTACAATAAACTCTCAGAACTAGATTAACATTGGAACCATTTTTGTCCACCTACCAAATTAAATGCTTGTAATACTTGATTAAATGTTCTTTATTTGAGTTTTTCATGTACAAAACACTATAAGGGCTTGTGCAACCCTGCAAGGTGGTTATGAGAAGGGTCACGACCCCTAAGCCTTCTACCTAGCCCTCTTTCTCCAGCCATTCCTTATAGGCCCCAGCATAGTGTCGAGCCCTGTGAAGAAAAAGAATGTTGAGAAAGGACTAGGTCCTGTAGGCCGGCCCCAGGCAGTCCCCAGTCAGCAAGTCTCACGCCTTGTCGTACCCTGTGTATCCAAGACCTTGTGCCAGCTGTGTGGCCTGGGAGCCTCGCTTGCCCAGCTGACAGAAGAAAACGAGATTCTTGTCTTCAAGCTTTGGCTTCTCAGCACTGTACAAAGCTCGGAAAGCAGCTGGGTCCATGGTCAAGGCGCTTTCCAACTCAGACACTGAGAGAGGACAAAAACGGAGAGCCAGTGGCACATTGGGGTTCACAATGTGGACCTCAAGAGCGGAGTCCTGGCCGGTCTGCAGAGATTGTCCACCTATGGTGGCCACCCCCCACCCCACCCCAACCTCAAAGACAAGGAAGAGCCTGCCATTGCAGGAAGTTAGGCCAACAATGCAGCCGCTTTCTGGGTCCTAAGGAGGCGGTAGAGGATCAGGTGGATTAGGGAATCCAGCTTCAGGCAAGCCATGTATATAGGGGCTGATCTACCCCTCTGGCTGCCTGCTGCCCCCTCAAACTGGATAAGCTAGTTCTACTGCCAGGATTCTCCATTCGGTTTTTCTCTAGGGAACCCGAGGGCTGGCTTGAGCAGATATAAGGCCATCTCTATCTCTACCAGCATCATCCCTACCCTGAGTGAGGCCCCTTTAGCTAAGACCAACTCGGACTGTCACTCTGCCAATACAAGAAATCCTATACCAGGGATGTTGAGTGCCCCGGGGATGGTACCAGCTTCTGCCTCCTCCCGAGATCGAACATCGAAGAGCCGGGCCCTGCCTGAGGCTAGGAGTGACCGTAGTTCAGATAACGAGACCGTAGGCACTGAGAAAGACAACAGGAAAGAATCAAGGGCTGGGGGACCACAAGACACCTGTGGTCTGTGCCCTCTCCCTGGGAGCTTCCGAACCCAGTGGAGCTGTGGACACACCCCTACACTCCTCTCGGGGACCAGCATACACAGCCCTACTCCCACATCCCAGGTACCCCCATATCCTTCTCGAGTACCTCCAGACATGGTGCCAGCAGCAACTGTGTGACAGAGACGCAGGAATGCAACCCGCAGCATACCCCCTCCCTCCCCGAGTCCAACCAGGGAGACAGGAAATAGAAGCAAAGCGCGGCACCTGGTTGGCACCCGCAGAGCCCCAGGAGCACCTGTTGGTGACAACTCTAACCAGTCCACACTTGAAACCTTTAAAATCTGCCCAGTGTAGGCCGGAAATGACATCCAGGTTTGGCACAGGTACCCATGCTCTGGGTAATGAATATAGGAATACTAACACCCCACCCAAAGCGTGACCCAACCCTTACTGGTCAAAGGGTAACATGCACTTTCCCTTCCCCCAGAACCCCACAAAAGAAGGAAAACAGACAACTGTGGATCTAAACAATTTTATCTTTAAAAAAAAAAAAAAAAAAAGAAAAGAAATAAAAAGAACCACCCCCAGAAGGGGAAGGCTCTCGGTGAGCCCCTGCCTATCTTTCTCCCTGGCTTCAGAGACTTCTGCAGAGGCCCCAGCTGCACACTGGCCCCTCGACTACTCATGGGCTAGCAGCCACCTAGCATCCTTCCCCATTTCCGAATAAGCCTGCTCCCCAGAGTAACCAGGTGCATATCTTAGCTCCTGCTCCAGGGAAAGGAAGAACCAGTAGAAGTGCTAAACCCACAGAGTGTCCACGGACCCTCTGCTGGGCACTCTAAGCAAGCACAAGGCAAGCCCAGATTTCGTGTGTCCAGTGTCGATGGATACGGGACATGCAGTATGCAAAGGAGCACAGGGCCCGGGGACCACACAGCGGGAGCAGGCGAGACTGTCAGGACAGGTCCACTTCGTGTTTTAACACACACGCTTGCCAGACTCCCCCCTACATGCCAGAAGTTGGCAGTGAAGGGAAGGGGCGTGGGATCAGCCTGTTGCTCCCGGGCTCTCTGCAGTTCTAGGGCCCAAAGCCCCTGCATCCCCACAGTTAGTTGCTGTCATTCTTGATGACGACCTCTAATCCATGGTGCCGTAACTGAGCTCGTAGTAGCAGGTTCTTGTTTTTAAGATCTTCCACCTGCACAGAAAGGAGGCAGTAAGGGGAATGGATAGGAAAAAACACAAAACAAAAAAACAAAAAAAAAAAACCTGATACTGCTAAGCAGAAATTCAGTCACACACCCAGTGCTGAGGAGGGCAATGTGAAGTGTTTTCTAGGGAATCCAAACTGGGTCAGTGGCTACAGGGCTGCCAAGGGGCCTGCCCTGGCATTTGTCTGACCTGTTGCCGAAGCACATCATTGTCTAGCTGCAGCTGATCTAACCCCTGCAATTCTTCCGACAACCGGTGGTTGCTCTGCCGCAGCTCCTGGATATAATCACAGGCTTTGGATAGGATTCCACCTTTACTCTGCAAGGCAAAGTCAACAAAATGAGGACAAAGGCTTAACACACCCCGCTTTCTGTCCAAGAGCACACTCATACTTCCAGCCTATGTCCCTCAGAGTGGTGACAATTGTCTCAGAGAGTATGAGGAAAAGTGGACTGCCGTGAACACTACTCGCCACCGTTTCTGAAAATAATGCCAGGAGACAGAACTCTAGCCTCCTCCCTGCTACCAGGGCCTTTCCATGACCTGGCCAGACTTGGTGCTCTCCAGAGAGCAGTCTGGGATGATTTTGGACAGCTGCACAATCCAGTTGTTGATCTTGTCCCGGCGGCGGCGCTCCACTGTGGGGCAAAGTGGAGGACATAGTGACTCTGTGAAAGATGAGCAGCCCTGCCCCCCTCACACATCCCTGCAGTTCCCAGATCTACTCAGGTGGCGCCCAGCTTCACACCTGGGTACTCCCTACCTTCATTATGCTGAGCCCTGCGTTTCTCATCCCGAGTTGTCCTGGGAGCCTCTGACTTCCTGAAGGTAGAGGCCAGGGTGACAAGTTAAAGATAAACAAGCAAAAAAGACTGTTTAGGATGAAGAATTACACAATCTTTAGCAGGCATTAAAATCACTCAAAACGACTAAGGAGAGATAAGGTCACTCACGGGGAATAAGGGTGGGTCCTGGGAGCAATTGAACGCTGGCTCCCTCCCTGCAGTACTTCTTGTGGCGACATCATCACAAAGAACTGACCTGTGACGGCGTGAGTTAGGTTTTTGTCAGGACCTAGAGCCAGGAGCCTCACCAAAACCTTAGGACCCTTTTGAGAACATACTACCACCTGCTGGTAAAGCAGCTCAGACTCACTATATACCCTGATTTTGCAGAGGGAGAGGTTCAGACATGCTTTGTCTGTGAAGCCCTGGTTGTCCTGGAACTCATTCTGTAGACCAGGCTGACCTCAAACTCTCTAACAGCCCACCTCTGTCTCCTGAGTGCCCGGATTAAAGGTGTGTGCGATCACCACCCAGTGACCTTGATCTTAGAATCACTAAGTCAAGTGCTAGGGCCCAGAGCCCCCAGCCACATCCCACAGTAGCCCCTCTGGCTGCCATTCTCACCTGTACTGGGAGGGGTTGCCTGTCCCAGCAGTGCCTCTGAGCCCTGGGTGGTAACGACAGCAGTGGTACTCCCAGACGTGGTACCCCCTGACCCATCTCCCACTGCAGTGCTGGGAAAGTAAGTATAGTGTGTTTCAGCAGCTGTTCCCTCCGTGTCAACTGCATCATCACTGGTGAAAGCACCCTGGATCACTGCCTGAGAAGGGAAGTGAGAGCAGAGTCCAGTCAGGCAGGGACATATTTCCACGCCATCACCCTGAAGTTTCTATCCCTTACCAGAAGGAAGGAGAAACACATGTGGCCAAAGATAGCTATGAATGCAACCCAACACAAAACTATCCTTACTTAAAATATGAATCGTTTAATTCAATTGTGTGAGTCTTTTAAGACTTATTTTTATATGTAGGAGTATTTTGCCTGTATGTATGTATACTATATGTATGCCTTTTGCCCGAGGAGGCAGGAGGATATTTGATACCCTGAAACCAGATGGCTGTGATCCACCATGCAGATATTAAGCACTGAACTCAGGTTCTCTTTAAAGCAAAAGGTGCTCAGAACTGCTGCTAACTGCTAAGCCATCTCTCCAGCCCCAACTGCGTTGTTCATGGGCATGATCTTTGTAGATGACAGAGACATGTCTCAATGACAATACTTAAATGACAAGTTTGACTATTATAAATGATGATTTATAATTTTAATACAAGTCAAAATATACATATAACAAAATTGACCGTAAATTTGTATCAATAAACCAAAGTCCATACCAGTGTAATGTATCATTTCTATATTATATTCCCCCCTTTCTTAAAAGAGATTAACTATGACCATTAATCATTTATAATTAATCCCCCCTTTAAATGAAAACAAACATTTATAAACAATCATTTTGGGAATTTGTAGTCAGAAGGTTAAATACATCTGAATCCAGTCCCCGATGCATCCCACTGTTCTAACCCCACCCTTCCTTCCTATTGGCTCCGTAGCTTCTCTTAGTGCTAAGAGCTCTCTAGTCCTCTCACAGCTTATCCCCATACCTGGGTCATAGACTGAGTGGCAGGGTAGCCACTAATGGCACCAGTGCCTTCTGTCTGGCCATCCAGCTGCCCCTCAGACACCTGGATCACCCGGTACATCACCTAGAAGCAATGAAGAGGGGTGAGGGGTGGGAAGAAAAGACAAGAGTAAGTATCCAGAATCCTAGGCCTTCTCAAAAAGTGCCTCTTGGGCCGGGCAGTGGTGGCGCACGCCTTTAATCCCAGCACTCCAATCTCTGTGAGTTCGAGGCCAGCCTGGTCTACAAGAGCTAGTCCCAGGGACAGGCTCCAAAGCTACAGAGAAACCCTGTCTCAGAAACAAAAAAAACAAAAAAAATTAAAAATTAAAAAAAAGTGCCTCTTGGATTGAGTCCCAGGGACCTTTCAAAAGCAGATTCAGCTATTTGTCCCTTCTTTCCTCATTTTGAGACTTTCGCATATCCAGCCCCACACCAACCTCTATCTTAGCCTCCTATCAACATTTCACCCCAATAGTACAGTTCCATCTCATTCTCCAAGTCACAGCTCCCCAAATGTGTCCAGGCACCTCCCTTGAGCCCAAGCCCAGGTAACATCTGCAGTCACCTGGCCCCCTCCCTTACCTGGCCCCCATTCTCAGTTCGGAAGACGTACTTGACGTTGGGATCGGGGAAAGTGGCAGCTGACTGGATGCTGGCGATGGCTACACTAGTTGGGTCCTCTCCAGTAGCCACTGCACCTAAATTAAAAGAGGCAAAGAGCGACGTAGAAAAAGACAAGATCTCCTGAGTGAACTGGGAGCATGGAGACATTGGAAAGAGTTGAAGAGGAAGGGAAAGGAAGGGAGCAGAGAAAAATGTAGAGCTCAATAAAATCAATTTAAAAAAAAGAAAAGAGGTAAAGAAAGATCTATGAGTTAACTGCCTTTCTCCCTGTTCTACTTGCATCGCACTTAAAAGACCCGTGGTACACAGAAGATGGGCCAGTCAGTTGAGGAGGGAGGGAGGCTACAATGGGTGCATGGTCTTGATTTTAGCATTCACCTTCCTGAATCTGCACCGTCCCCTCTTCGGTTTCAGCTGTTTTCTGCTGCCTATTTGTGGTGAAACAAAAACAAAGAGAAGATGTGAGAAGCTCATTAACACGGCTCCCAAACTCACGAGCATCCACAACAGATGTTAGGTCAGGTTAGATAACGACAGTCACAGTGGCGCACGCCCTTAATCTCAGCACTCAGGAGGCAGAGGCAGGCAGATCTCTGTGATTTTTGAAGCCAACCTGGTCTACATAGTGAGTTCCAGGACAGTTAGGGTTATGTAGAGATATATTCTGTCTCAAAAACAAAATGAAATAAACAACAACAACAACAAAAAAAAACTAGTGAACTAAGTGTTTGCTATGTACATAGAATTAGGCTATAATAACTTTTTTTTTCTTTTTGGTTTTTCAAGAAAGGGTTTCTCTGTGTAGTCTTGGTTGTCCTAGAACTTGTTCTGTAGACAAGGTTGGCCCCACACTCAAAGATCAGCCTGCCTTTGTCTCTCCCAAGTGCTGAGATTAAAGGCATGCACCACTACCGCCCAATGGATGATACTAATAACAACATATGAAATCAATAATAATACCTACTTTACAGTTAAAACTAAATCACAGAGCGGGTGAGTAATGGAGCTGGGGGACCCAAATCCAGTTCTGTCTGAATCTAAACTCTTAGCCACTTTGCATTCCCCATGGTCATCCTTCTCTCATCCCAGACGCCACTTGTCCACTTACCCCTTCATCTCTCTGTGAGGG